TTTTTTCATTTCCCTTATTAGCTTTCCCCTACCCTTCCCACTTTCCCTACACCTTTAGCCCCTTTCTTCTTATTTCACATTGTCAATTATATCATTAGGATCTTATGTACTATTATAGTTTATTCACACCAGAGAAACTATTTGGTATTTACACATGTGTGACTTATTTCACTTAGGAGTATATCCTCACTATGTATCCATTTTCCTATGAATGAATCTAATTTCTCATTCTTTATGGCTGAGTAATATTCCATTTTATAGAAAAACCACATCTTCCTATTAGCTGCAAGGCATGCAAAAATAAAAATCAGGCTGGGTGTGGGGGTATACATCTGTAATCCTAACACTTTGGGAGGCCGAGGCAGCACAAATTCAAGCCCAGCAGGAGCAATTTAGTGATTTAGAGAGACTACTAGAGAGTAGTAAAAAAGGGCTTGGGAAGTAGTTTGGTATGAAGGCCTGGGTTCAAACTCCACCAATGAGGGGGAGAGAAAAGCCAGACTTTACAACTCCAAAGTTTTACAATACGAAGAAACGACTATATTATTAACAAAGACTTCTCTGGTATCTTTCATTGGAACTCAGAACTTTGGAAGAGTCACTTAAAATGAGTTGAGGCTTGGAGGAAATAATATGACTAAATCAAAGAGTTCTTTAAATATTATCTTCACAAAAAGTAATAAAGATGGGAGAGGAGACATTTTAACAATGGAAAAGACAGAAAACAAATACAGAATTCCTCTTTTTTTTAAAAAAGTTCTCTTTGAAATTTTCCTTAAGGAGCATAATCAATAGATAGGAAAGAATAAAACTATTTATTGGGGAATCTGATAACTGGACCATATTCAGAAAAGAGGTATGGCATGTGAAATATGGCTAAAAGAACTAACAATTTTTATTCCTATGTAGGTTATGGGGAACCAGAATTATGTTTTCATATCTGAAATGTTAATTATTTCTGTTGTAGGTTATAGATGGGAGAAGTAAAAGGAACAAAATGAGAAAAGAAAATAGGGTCAATTTATAAAACTTGAAGCTGGATTTTAGGTCCATGTAATCACTTATACTTATTATTTTTCATATATAGCCCTCCCTCCAGCATTTAATTGGGAAAAATTTCAAGCATATAGCAATGTTATAAGAATTTGACAGTAAATGCCCATTTATAATGAACCATCACTTAGATCCTACCATTACAATGTATTTTACTCATTTAATCCCATACTTATCCTAGGCATCTCAATCCATTTTATTGTTTGGATACATTTCAAAGTAAATTCTATACACTTTTGTTTGCCACTGGGAAGGTGATTCGCCTTTCTCCCAGGATCTTTCTTACAGGGGCTAATAGCTGACTGTTGGGTATATTCTAGAGGGGATTTCTGCTTTGAATAGGTGGAGTGGACCAGGGCTGTGCCTTTCAAATTATGTCATCCTTATTAAGAAAGAGATTTCATCCAGTGTACACCATATACATACACACACATATATATATATAAAATTATATATGTATGTATGTATGTATGTAAAGTTTAGGAAACAATATTTACTTTTACATATGTGAAGCATGCTGACACTTTCTATTTCATTCCATTTAGGATGGATGCCTTAGTCATGCTCCACCTAACATGCACCAGCGGATTGCAAGAATTCTGTGGCTACTACCCAGATTTCCTTATCTTCGCAGTGATTAGGAACCTGTTCTGAGCTCCAGCATTTACTCAGCATGCCTAGCATTATGGCATATATAGTTTAGAGAAAAATCTTAAATGCCTAGTTAGTAATTCTGCATAGAAACCTTTCGAATACTCTTTAGGGGTAAATTTATTAATTGCCTGTTATTTTCAGAAACAGGAAGAGGCACTGTTGGATAGATGGGCTCCCCTACTCAGTACTCACATAATCTTCGCTGAAATATGGCTCTTTCGTGCTTGCAGTGATTCTAAAAAAGTTGAGACCATCAAATGAGAACATGGGTGTGAAAGAACTTTGAAAGCTAACGTTTTAATAACACTATTCTGTGACATCAGGAAGAGGGACGCTGCTATCAGGCTTTAGGGAGGATGTCTGTTCTTATAGGACTGTTACATTAACCTCCCCAAGGACCAGGGAATACATTTTGGCTCTGGACTTCGAACTCAAGGTCTCGCTTTGGTCAGCACTCCGCTCGCTGTGCGCATGCTTAAAAGCAGCTCCAGCTCCTCGGACGATGGGCGGGTCCCAGAGGGTGGAGTCGAGGCCACGTGGGCTCCGTGACGTCATCTCTCGGCGCAGAGCGTGACTGGATTTGGGGTGGGCTTCCAGGGTTGCGCCGCGCTGCTGGCCGAGTTCGCCGGGTACCGGAGGGCGGAAGTACGGCAAGGTGAGTCTCTTACCTCCGCGCCAGTGTTTCTGCGGCTGCGCGTGCTCTCTGGACTCCTGCTCCCGCGCCTCTGCAGGACGGTGTCGGGCGGCACAGCCCCGACCCCGGCGTCTTCACCTGTGCAGGAAGCCGGGGGACGAGCCGGCGCTTTGGGCACGGTAAGTGTGTGTGTTCCGGCAAGAGAGGACCTGCCTGGACGGAGAGGGCTGGGGGGCTGGGAGTTGTGATTAGGAGGGGCGAGTGTCTGGCGAGAGAAGTGCAGCCCGGCGGCGACGGCGGGTGAGGTGGTGCGGTCGGGCTGAGGGGTTGGCCAGTCACCACCCTCCGGACTCGAGTCGGCCTGTGCGGTCTCTTGCGGAGTATGTCTGTCTTTTACTGAGGTAGGAAAGGTAGAGTGGAGTCGAAGCTCAGTTCAGTTCAAGACCCGCATTTTCCGTGGTACGGTTACCGAAACCATAATTGTTTTACGGGGCACTTCGATTCTATCCGAACTCAGCTATTTCCTCCAGTTTATCCTCTCAGTGACATTTTTAAAGTCTCATTTTAGTAATAACATTTAATTCTGACGAGACATTTTCTGTTGGCAAAGCACTTTCACATTATTTACTTGTACTCAGGATTGCTTTCAAATTATACTTAAACTTGAGGAACCTAGGAAACTGGAGTGGTTCTAGATTTTTCTGAGGTGTGAGGAAGTGTGTAATGTATTCAGTAATGAGAACCTACACGACTTAACAGAAACAACTTACAGAACCTTCTAGAATTCATCTGGTAAATCCGAGTCCTTGATAGTGTTAATATTTGGATCTTATCTGAACTATTTGTGATATGTTAGAGTAGTTGGTTGAGTTTTGAATTTGAAAATAAAGGTGTTGGGTTAAGGTTAGTAGTTGAGAACGTTAGAGTTTTACAGTAGATTTAAATATTTCCTTTGCTCTTCAATGTTAAGTTTGGGGAGAAATGAGCAGAATAGGAACAGGAGTCTAAAGAAATGGGTGTTTAGAATATTGTACTCACATCAAGCCTAGGTTCTATTTATTAACTTCGCAAATACTGAGTACCTGCCCCGGGCCAGGTACTGGGGGAAATAGTTAAAAAACAATAAAAGTCTCTGCCATTGTGAACTTCACATTGGGGATGGGCAAGAGAAGACACTGACAAAAACAAAAAATGTATCAGACGCTGGAAAGTACTCGAGAAAAAAATAAAGCAGTGAAAGGGAATGAGGTACCAGAGGTTTAGGATATTGCAGGATTCTCCATAAAAAAGATACCTGAGTGAAGACATGAAAGTAGTAAAAATGCCATGTAGAAAGAGCCTTGAGACTACAAGAGGGTCCATGAGCCAGGAGCATACCAGCTAGTTCAGCTGGGACACAATGAACAAGCATTAGAGTTATAGCTGATACTCAGGTAAAATGGGGCAAGGTTCTATAAGGTCTTGTGGGACTTTGTGGGAACTTGTTTTTACTTTGAATGAGATGAGTTTTGCGTAAAGAGTAAATTGAGCTAACTTGTGTTTTTAAAGGATCTGTCTGCTTTGTTGACCTAGTGCAGCACAGGCAGAAATAGTGAGAACTGTTGGCAGGTCATTGCTTTTATCTGGGCTGAAGGTCAGGGTGACTTGGATCAGGGTGGTTAATAATGGAGGTGGTTTGGAAAGACTATTCTAGATGTTTCAAAGGTAGAGCAGCCAGGTGTGTGGGAGAATGGGATGATTTCAAGGTTTATGGCCTGCGCACTAAAGAATGGAATTACAACTTTCTGAAATGGGGATGACTACAGAGTAAAAGGGGTGAGGAGGGAGAAGATCTGAAATCATTTTCAGTTTTGCATATGTTAAATTTCTAAGTGGAAATGTCAGTATGCAGTAATATGTGTATGTGAAACAAGTTTAGAAGGAAAGTCTGGGCAGAAGATATAAATGGGAGTTGTGGTTTTAGTATTTAAAGTCAGAAGGAAGATACACAAGGGAGTGGTTCAAGGACTGTCAACATTTAGGAGTGATATTCAGGATCCTCCCTACACTTCAGGTTGGAGTGGTTCAGTAAAACCCCTCTAGAGAATCTCTGATCCACAGTAACAGGATAAAAGGAAATAGAAAACATGTACATTAGGGGAAAGAGAGAGCAGAGACAGGAGAGAAGATGAGGAAAGATGGAAACTTGAGGGAGGAGAAGGTATAGAATAGTGGTACAGGAAAATGGGGAATAGATGGACTAGGGAAATGTAAGAATATCAGGCAGTACTCAGGACCCACATTTGAGTTTAGTGTTCTTGAGTTTCAAGGGAGACCAGCTGGCAGAGATTATTATTTTTAGTTATTCAAGTATTTTATCTCAACATAATTTCTAGGTAGTTGGGACTTTGTCAACATAAATAACTCCAGGTATTAGTTATCCTTTCTTGATTTATAAGGCACTATTAATTGTACCTTTTTATCCTACTGAGCTTATTTGCTGAATGGTTATCAGATATTGATTATATACCTACTCTGACCCAAGCCCTGAACTAGATGCAGAAATAGAACTGACTAGTTGTTTGCATCATGGGCTGGGGTTTCTGTGCCTTCAAAATTGGGTGGATGGTGATAATGGTGTAGTGTATGTAGGAAAAAAACCTTTTTAAATAATGAAATTTGCTCATTTTGAAGTGTGATTGTACTGATTTGGAGAGGAGTTAATGTGGAAGAGCTTAATAACCTAGATTGATTGATTGAGAGAGACAGGGTCTCCCTATGTATCCCAGGCTGACCTTGAACTCATAGGGTTCTTCCTCCCTTAGTTTGAGTTTTGTGAATACAGGCATGTACTACCATGCCTGGTAAGAACCTAGACTTATATATATACTTCCCACCACCTTTAACAAAAATTGCTAAGTCTGCTCTGTACTTACTATGTTAATTGAAGATAAATATGACTAATTTTTGTTTTCTCTTTGTCTTAGTAACTTTCTCCTTACTAAAACACAATACCTGATACCCACAACTATAAGGAGCAAAGGTTTATTTTGACTCACAGTTTGTCGAAGTCCCAGTCCATAGTTGGCAGGCTCACAGGCAGGGTGCATGGCAGAGGAGAAGCAGCTCATGGCATGGCATTGGGAAGCAGAGAGAGATCAAGGGACAAGAGATAAAACCCTCCAGGCTACACCCCAGTCACCCACCTCCTCCAACCAGGCTTCACCTCCCAATGTCATGTTTAGCTATAGACTTCACAAGGGACTAATTTGATGAATATCACGTCCTCATGGTCCAGGCATCTCTCCAGATCCCCACCTATGAGTGCTTAAGACTTTCAGGGAACATCTAGATATAAACCATAACAAGGTTATGTTCAAGGAACACTATTCAGGGTGGTTAGGGGCAAGACAGATAAGATAAAGAAGTAATTAAAATCTAGGGATGAAACTTAGGGTTACAGCTCCTGCCCAGCTTTTGCTACACCCTACATTTAACCCCTAGCATCATCAAAAAATAAAAAAGAATTTAAAAAAGAAAAATTATTACTGGGCACAGTTGCATATACCTTAATCCCAGCTACTTGAGGGGCTGATGCAGGAGAATTGGATTTGAGGCCAGCCTGGGAAGCAGATTGGGACTCTGTCTCAAAAAGGCAAACTGAACCAAAGCAACAACAAAAGTAATTTGACTGGCGGCTGCTTAGGATAAGAAACAATTATCCCTTGACGCTAAAAAAATTTGTAAATGTTAAATAAAATTGGATCATGAAGCATACCATGTAGAAAATCAAGAAGGACTTCTGAGTTCTAAGTTGCATATGTCATGATTTAATCTCATGTTACATTTATAGATTTGACTAATACCTACTACTATATCAAACATACCTTATAAAGAGACCAGAAAGGCCATAAAAACATGAAGAAACTTTGTACATTTTAAGTACATACACCATTTATTGAGTGGGAAATCATGTACATATTAAGTATGTAAGACCATTTATTAAGTGATTACCATGTGTTAAATACCTGTACCCTGAATATCAGAGTTATCTTTATTTTACAAATGTGAAATTCAGATGGAAAGGGTTAATTGTCCTAGTATATATAACTACTAAGTGGAAGTCCGGGTTTAAACCTATGTTAGTGTGATTTCAAGCTCCTTAATTACTTTGCTTTATTGCCTGCCATCAGCATTTAAATATTCCTTGGACTTGTTCTTTATTCTTAAATTGCTTTTCACCAGCTATTGTTTATTCTTTCTTGAAAACAATCTGTCTTACCAAGTCACCACTACCATTCTAAATCAAGCAGTCATTTCTTCATGGTAGATACTGAAATTGCTTCCTGGCTGGCCTCTTTATAAGGGATGTGTTTGATACAGTAACAGATATTAGTCAAATCTATAAATGTAACGAGATTAAATCATGAAGTATACCACTTAGAATTCAAAAGTCCTCCTTGATCTAAGTGGTGTGCTTCACGATTCAATTTTATTTAACATTTACAAATTTTTCTAGTGTCAAGGAATAATTGTTTATCTTTCTTTTTTTGGTACCAGGGATTGAATTTAGGACCTTGTGCTTGCAAGGCAGGCAGTGGCACCACTGAGTTAAATCTCCAGCCCTGTTTGTGTTTCTTAGTGTGTGTGTATTACTATATTAAAGAAACTTACAGATTTTTTTTTTCCCCAGAACAAATTTGTGATGCAAGTATTATTCATTCCATCTCAAAGGTAAAAGAAAGGTTTAGTGAAGGGACTTGGTCATGATGCTGTGTGACATTTAAACATATTACAGTGTCAGCTCTTTTATTATCTTCTAACTCTTCCAACCCAAAATTTCCTGAAAAGTTGGCACAGTTGTTGTTCCTATGTTTAATTAATGCTGCTGTTTTGCCCTTCTCAGATTACAGATTGTCCTTAAGCTAATATTTTACTGCTTAGAATTTTTTTGACACTATGTGACTTTATAGTGGTGGGAAAGCAAATTACATTTATTATATTGCTCAGTAGAAACCATTCTAGGAATTTGAATGTTGGTTTTCCTGGGTATCCATATGTGATAACTGTAACTTTTGCATTGCTAGTAGTAGCAGCATCTGTAGCTCTGTTAGCTGCAGGATCACAAGGCCAACAATCCATACCCTACAGTGTACTATTGGCTAAACTATGATGTTTGGTAGGTTAGATGTATTAAATA